CTCAACTTTCTGATTATTATAAATCAAACAAAAATGAGTTCTCCATCGAACAAAAATCAAAGAAAGACTTCATCCGCCGATTGTAAATCAGACGGAAATACAGAAAAAAAATAAAGAAGTGGAAATAATTTTGATAAAAGACGATGATGAAGAAGAAGAAGAACAACCAAGAAAAAAACAAAAAACAAAAAAAGTCAAAAAAGAAGAAGAGGTGGAAACGGCTAGAGAATTCACCGTGGGAGAGGTGAATCAAGAGAAACAAGTAGCACCAAATGCCAAGAAGCGTCCTGTTTTTGTATGGAAACCCACCGTAGTTTCAGATAACGTGTTTCGGATAGAGAGTTTTGTCCAAACATCCACTAACAAGGCGACACTTCTGTATAATTTTATGAGGATAGATCGTCCGAATCGACTGTGGAAATCAGAACTCGATTATATGAGAAAATAAGGTCCTGGAAAGATCTTTTACATCAGAGGATGTGGCTCAAAGATAAAGTAAGTGTATTTCTTTTTCACTAGTCACATTGTTATATTATCTAGTCACATTAGTCACGCTGGTCACACAGTTAAAAATTCACATTGGTCACACTGGTCAAACTAGTCATACTGGTCACACAGTTAAAAATTCACATTGGTCACACTAGTCACACTGTTATATTATCTGATCACACTAGTCACACTGGTCACATGGTTAAAAATTCACATTGGTCACACTGGTCACACTAGTCACACTGGTCACACAGATAAAAATTCACATTGGTCAACTAGTCACACTAGTCACATTGTTATATTATCAGGTCACACTGGTCACACTAGTCGATCTGTGAGAAGATTGCCGCAGATATCTTCTCTAATGGTAACATTATCATGCTTCCTCCCGATTCTGAATGACGTGATGATTCCTCCCCTGATGCAAGATAATTTTTGATATTCTTATCTGAATTTTGTTTAATTTTACATCTTAAACTTTGGTTTAGTTGTTTCAATTTGAACCTTTGATTTTATTTTATGTTATGTTAAAGTTTATTTTACTTCTTTGTTCATATATGGAAGGAATCTACAGTGTGACTAGTGTTCCGATGGTTACACTTGTCACACTAGTCACACTGGTCATACTGAACGAATTTTGTGAATTCAACACTTTCAGAGTGTAATGTATGACCAAAGAAAAGGTTCGGAAAAGAAATCGGGGTCGAACGTTGATGAGCATTATCCGATCGAAAGCTATGATCATAAAACGAATCTCATAAATGATAGTAGTTGTGACAACCCAAGATACCGTAGGAGGACGGGGAGTGATCGCCTGTGCGAGAGGCATGAACAATGGGCGGCTCCTGACGAGCTTCTGGGTAGAGGGTATAGGGATGAATCAGACGCATCGGAATGAGAGAGATCCGAGGGCTGTGTAGGTATGAGACTACACAGTCTAAGATAACTTAAAGAAATTAATTGAGCTACTCATAACAACAAGATGCATCTACATTTTCGGTTGCCCATCTCGAGAGAACTCTAAAGTTAAGCGTGCTAGTCTTGGAGTAGTCTTAGGATGGGTGACCTCCTGGGAAGTACTTTCCGGAATATGTGCGAGTGAGGACAAAACATGCTAAAAGGTCTCGTGTTGGTGTGTGGGGATAGTTCTATCATTTTGTAGCGGCCTCGGATCGTTACAGTAATGTGTTAGAAACACTTGGACCAATGTAACTTTGTGTTTATAAATTTATTGTTTTATCCGCCTCTAAAACGTTCTTATAAAGTTAAATTATACTGTTTTACAGTGTATAAACCTTATTTTAAACTTCAACAGATGAATTGGACCAGTGTTTTTACATGTATGCATATCGCGATGATCACACTGGTCACACTTAACAAATTTCGATAATTCAACACTTTCAAAGCGTAATGTATGATCAAAGCAAAGGTTCGGAAAAAAAATCGCGGTCGAAAGTTGATGAGCATTATCCAATCGAAAGCTATGATCATAAAACGAATCTCATAAGTGATAGTAGTGTTTTAGAAACACTTTGAACCAAAGTAACTTTGTGTTCGGAAATTTTTTGTTTTATCCGCCTCTAAAACATTATTATAAAGTTAAATTATATCTTTTTACAGTGTATAGACCTTATTTTAGCCTTCAATAGATGAATCGGACCAGTATTTTCACACGTATGCATATCTCGATGGTCACACTGGTCACACTGAATAAATTTTGAGAATTCAACACTTTCAGAGCGTAATGTATGACCAAAGAAAAGGTTCGGAAAAGAAATCGCGGTCGAAAATTTATGAGCATTATCCGATCGAAAACTATGATCATAAAACGAATCTCATAAGTGATAATAGTGTTTTAGAAACACTTTGGACCAAAGTAACTTTATGTTCGGAAATTTGTTATTTTATCCGCTTCTAAAACATTATTATAAAGTTAAATTATATCGTTTTACACTGTATAGACCTTATTTTAGCCTTCAATAAATGAATTGGACCAGTGTTTACACATGTATGCATATCCCGATGGTCACACTGGTCACACTGAATAAATTTCGAGAATTCAACACTTTCAGAGCGTAATGTATTCCAAAGAAAAGGTTCGGAAAAGAAATCGCGGTCGAAAGTTGATGAGCATTATCCAATCGAAAGCTATGATCATAAAACGAATCTCATAAGTGATAGTAGTATTTTAGAAACATTTTGGACCAAAGTAACTTTGTGTTCGGAAATTTGTTGTTTTATCCGCCTCTAAAACGTTATTATAAAGTTAAATTATACCGCTTTACAGTGTATAGACCTTATTTTAGCCTTCAATAGATGAATCGGACCAATGTTTTCACACGTATGCATATCTCGATGATCACACTGGTCACACTGAATAAATTTTGAGAATTTAACACTTTCACAGCGTAATGTATTTACCAAAGAAAAGGTTCGAAAAAGAAATCGCGGTCGAAAATTTATGAGTATTATCCGATCGAAAGCTATGATTATAAAACGAATCTCATAAGTGATAGTAGTATTTTAGAAACACTTTGGACCAAAGTAACTTTGTGTTCGAAAATTTGTTGTTTTATCTGCCTCTAAAACGTTATTATAAAGTTAAATTATATCGTTTTACAGTGTATAGACCTTATTTTAGCCTTCAATAGATGAATTGGACCAGTGTTTTCACACGTATACATATCCCGGTGGTCATACTGGTCACACTGAATAAATTTCGAGAATTCAACACTTTCAAAGCGTAATGTATGACCAAAGAAAAGGTTCAAAAAAGAAATCGCGGTCGAAAGTTTATGAGCATTATCCGATCGAAAGCTGTGATCATAAAACGAATCTCATAAGTGATAGTAGTGTTTTAGAAACACTTTGGACCAAAGTAATTTTGTGTTCGTAAAATTGTTGTTTTATCCGCCTCTAAAACGTTCTTATAAAATTATATTATACCTTTTTACAGTGTATAAAATTTATTTTAGCCTTCAACAGATGAATTGGACCAGATTTTCACATGTATGCATATCCCAATGGTCACACTGGTCACACTAAACAAATTTCAAGAATTCAAAACTTTCGGAGCGTAACGTATGACCAAAGAAAAGGTTTGGAAAAGAAATCGCGGTCGAAAGTTGATGAGTATTATCCGATCGAAAGCTATGATCATAAAACGAATCTCATAAGTGATATTAGTGTTTTAGAAACACTTTGGACCAATATAACTTTGTGTTCGTAAATTTGTTGTTTTATCCGCCTCTAAAACGTTCTTATAAAGTTAAATTATATCTTTTTACAGTGTATAGACCTTATTTGAGCCTTCAACAGATGAATTGGACCACTGTTTTCACAAGTATGCATATCCCGATGGTCACACTAAACAAATTTCGAGAATTCAACACTTTTCAGAGCATATTATATGACCAAAGAAAAGGTTAGGAAAAGAAATCACGGTCGAAAGTTGATGAGCATTATCCGATCGAAAGCTATGATCATAAAACGAATCTCATACGTGATAGTAGTATTTTAGAAACACTTTGGACCAATGTAACTTTGTGTTCATAAATTTGTTGTTTTATCCGCCTCTGAAACACTCTTATAAAGTGAAATTATATCGTTTTACAATGTATAAACCTTATTTTAGCCCTCATCAAATGAATTGGACCAGTTTTTTTACACGTATGCATGTCTCGATTGTCGCACTGGTCACACTGAGCGAATTTCGAGAATTCAAAACTTTTAGAGTGTATTGTACGACCAAAAAAAGGTTTAAAAAAGAATTCGAGGTTGAAAGTGACCAATGTGGATATTTTTTGAACGGTGTGACCAGTGTGACCAGTATACGAGGATTGAGAACCACGGGGAGAGAGAAACGTAAAGAGAGAGAAACATGATGAGAGAAAAACACCAGAAAGAAAAACGTGAAGAGAGAGAAATACAAATCAATTAATTAAAGAAAGATGCATAAGGGTATAATAGGGAGAACACATTTATAAATGTATTGTCCTAAGATTTTTTTTTTCGCCAAGTGAAGGATATGCCTTGAAATCTTTTTAGCAAAGTAAGTGTATTTTTTATAATACCCCATATCAAGCATATATCTGAAAATATATCTGAAAGTTAACAATATTCGAACAGAAATTGGTACAAAATAAATAAAAAATATTAATTTATATTCATTATAAATTTAGAAAATGTGAAAGATATTTATATAATTTTTGCATTTACAAAAATAAAATTGCATATTCACGTATTATCCATCTAAAATTCATGTAAAACTATCCAAACTCGATTTTACCGGTATACTCGAAAAATATATATTGTGTCAACCCCTGCTTATTATAATCAAATTCTAGATTGTTCAACCAGTTATAACATTTTCTAGAAAATTGAGACAAATTTCTTTGTTTTGGACCTCCCAAACCACTACATAAAAATCAGATTCATAAACATAATCCCTTTGCTCTTTGTACCTAATAATAATTTTTAAACATATTCATATCAATAGGTAAATTTTCCAATACCATAAATTATTTCTAAATAAACCATTAGAGAAATGTTATCAAACATTTAGTCCCATAATATCAATTCCTTTGAAAAAAGAATAATTTTGTGAACCCGCCAAACAAAAATCTTACAGATATGATTTTTCTAAAATCGAGAAACCCGAATCTAAAATGGACATTCGAAAGGTTTGCTTCAATCGTCTGAATCTTCGTTCCGAGAAGAAAGAAAGCCGAAAACTTGCCTCAAATTTCCTCTGGATGGCCGTGCGTTAACGGCGTATCTGCATATGAATATCAATCTTCGCCGCATTGCCAGTTTCGTAACGCTCCTCTCCCGAAAGCAACTTCCTCCGTCAAAGACTCCTAAATAAAGAAAAAGGGTTACACTATTAAATTTTTATTTGAATTGACAAAAGAACGAGAGGAAAAAAAGGGTGTACCTTTCTCGTTGAAGAGTGACGTCAAGATGGCCAAACAAACACATACACTAATGTCTTCACCTGGTTACACAAAACAACAAAAAACATTGATTGAAATTCTCTTGTTTTTTCCTCGTGGAGAAAAATTTGTGGCAATGGCAAAGACCTACCAAAGTAAATGTATTTCAAAAATCTCCAAAGGTGCATGAGACTTACCGTTATGACAACAAACTAAGAGTTTCTTCCCCTGACTAAGCCCAGTCTTTGCAAAATTAACTGCAGAAGGAAGGTTTCTAGATATCGAAAACCGATCAAACTTCGAGCCCTACACAACACAAATTCGCAGTATGATTTCGAATTGTTGCAAATTTCGGAAGAG